AGGTTTTAACTCTTATAAGAATATACATATTTTTTTCTGTTAATGTACAAATATTTTTCCGATGTGTTTTGGATATTCTTTCTCTAATAAAAAGAGATACCATTTTGTTTTCGTTTGCATAAGAAAGAATATCAAGCATTTTTTCTTTTTTAAATTTAATTAGCCACAATAAAGAAGGAACGTTGCAGTGCTACGTGCTACATTAACGACGTCTCTAGAGTAACTGAATGACTGTTCATATAGAAATCGCAGGTATTAGTCTCATACAACAACGCCCCCTATAGTTCATTGCGATCGCGAATAGAAGTTTCAATTAAATTTTTTCCAAAAAACATTTCTTTCTGCAAAGCTTTAAGAAATTAACACTAAGCATTTAGAATTTCTTTGAAAACACAATTATAGATTTGGCAAACAACCTGATAATGCTCACTCTGGTTATTGTTTCCGTTTTTAAAAACGCTATATGTTGAGCCAGTTTAAATTAAATATTATTATGTTTTTAGGGTATGAATCTGAATTGAACAACCTGATAATGCTCACTCTGGTTATTGTTTCCGTTTTTAAAAGTGCTATATGTTGAGCCACCTCATGTGACATTTGCCATGTGACATTTTTAGCAACAATCATTGGTCGATTTTCTAACGTTGCCATTCGGGGAGTTGTAATGAGGCTTTTTTTTGGTACCGTGTAAGAGAAATATATATATAGATATTCTTAATTATTTTAATTGAAATAATCGGATTTTCGCTTGCTACGATACATTATTAACAACAAAGTATAAAAGTTAAACAAAATCGGCAGACTAGTTAATGAAAATTTTAGAAAGTGGAGTTTTTAAATTTTTATTTCATGAATCTATTCAAACTTTCTGCTAAAACTATAAGAATCATATGGTTATCTCCATATATTGATGGCCAAGAATCTTAATCAATCGAGAGAAAAAGTACGTTTAATCAGAGAAAGTAAACTTTTTGTATTTGATTTCGTAACTTAAAACATCATTTGCACAATTTAATTAGAATATTTAAATTAAGCCCCAAGCAATATTTTGTAAATTTATGTTATTCGAACCGAAATGTTAAGTGAATTTAGTTTACAAGAATTGAAATATTATTTTAAAATACGAAATATGAACGAATTCGAAATATGAACGAATGAAATTCCAAAATAAAACCGCATGTATATTTTTGTTTCGCAATTAACATTGGGAAGCCCTAACTTTCGCCCTCTATACAATATAAACTATTGGAACACCGAATTTACTATATATAGTGAATTATAAAAATATTTGGATTGGAAATATTTTAAATTGGATGATTATTTATTGTTGTATTCCGAGTTATATAGATACAGAAATATATTCCATTCTATAAAGAAGAAGAATATTCTATAACAATATTACATAATATATCATAGTAATATATTACAGTTTTGCACGTTCTGAAATCACATTTATTCATTGGAATGAAGTAAGCAATGTGGACTTAAGTAACTTCCCTTCAATTTAAAATGAATTAAAGACAAAAAAAAATTATAAAAAAATATATTAAAAATATATGTATGTATCCTTTACGAAGGCAGAATTCTCCAAGTACTTGATTCAGGAGTTCCCTTGTCGAAATGGATTGGGTTCAAAATTACAAAGCTACGGAGTTGAACATTTGTAGTCGTTAACTCAAAAATTGGGTCTGCTGTTTAAACGACGGTAATAATTTAAAATATACCAAAAAAAAATTTCTATTGAAAATTAAAGTAAATCAAATTAATTAACTCTAAAGTGTCTACTATTATCAGAGTTTTCCATCTTATTGCAAAGCTTTACGATAACCATTCTACATCCAAACATTCATTCCAAATTTCTTAGAAACTTGAAATTTAATTTTTTTTTTCGAAAATCTAAAAATGAAAGCATACATTTTTATTGATATAGGCACGCAATAAATTTTCTGATCATTCATATTCGATATTTTTTCGTTACAATTTATATTCGACAAATGTTTGTTCAATAAAAAATTACGTACTCGATTTTCATATTGTTATATTGCCCAGACGGAAAATAAATCCTAATTTACCTAGTACTCGTAACCGGTCGGGTAACAAATAAAACTTCACTAGTACCCAGAACGAACCGGGTAAAAGGTTTAAGTTTCTAGTTAACTGGAACCCTAATCCGGTATATCTCTAAAATGTACTAAATTTGAAATCAAATTCTTCCCATTTACATGCGCAAAGATTTTTTGAATAGTTTGTCTACTTCTAGTGCCGGAATGTACCTCTACCAGCTAATTAGGTCCTGGGTCACGCTGCACGCGAAGACTTCGCAAATAAGAATTTGGAGTAGCGAAAGAGGTAGGTAAGTACTATATTTACGTCGCACTAGAGTTTCACAATGAGCTATTGTCGACGGTCTGAGAAACATCCCTGAGGATGATCCGAAGACATGACGACCTGTGAGTGAAGTTGAGAGAAAAGAAAGAGAACTTGAGTAATGAAATATATTCATCAGAAAGCAATTCGTCAAGAGCCATTTACACTGCATGCGATTTTTTTTCGTATGCGAAAAAATGGTATGCGTACGGGAACATAATTGGTAAGTTTTTGCAGGGAAATATTTTTCCCCAATCCAGTTGTCATTTGTTAGAAATTTTTTTGCTTGCGATGAAATTGCATCCAGTGAGAATCGTCCTTCACTCAGATTCTCTCTCGCTTCGCCAAATTTGTGATTTTTTTCGCATGCAGTCTGAATTTCTCTGTGGAAATGGCGGCACATAAATAAATTGCATTTTCGTATGCGTATGCGAATCACGTCCAGTTATGCTTACATGCAATCGCACGCGAATATGATACACACGTGTGAGAGTAGTTCTTCTTAAGAGTTATTCTCGCTGCATGTGTAAAATTGGCTTATGCGGGAGGTAAACTGACTGGCGAATTTTCTGTGTAAATTTGCTCGCAATTTTACCATTCATAAGATTTTCCTGTAAATTTTAAATTCTAACTGGTTGTGAGCCAAAAATAATTTTTTATCGCAACATAAATAAAGTGTAAGGTTTGCCATGATATGATAGTGTTATTCCTTTGTTTGGCAATATTTGTGTAAAATATCACCGTTATTTATTTTTTGGGTTGCATCTTGCAAGGCATAGCATGCTTACGGAGTCTTTCAAATGCTTATGTTGTTTGCTTCGTTGAAATTTAAACTTAAAAAACACTTTATATTGTAAACACTACAATTGCATGTAATTGTAGTAAGTATTCTATGACTTTCTTCCTCTATGACTCTCCACACGCTAAAGGTAAAAGCATGCAAAGTGTTGCCATAGGTAGAGAGTTCTGCTCTACGCCACCTGCAGCCCATTTCGATTGCCAATTTCACTAGTCAAGTGTCTCATTTCAAAACTCTGCGAATTTTTCGCATGCAGTAAAAATGGTATGTATAGCTTCACGACGTTCCCACGCGTGTGTAGGTAAACTTGATAAAATACTAGGGCCATTTTCACTGTATATGAGTCGCACATGCGATCCTCGTAAATGCAATTCGCACTTGTGCAAACAGTTCTCCCAGGAATCTTTCACACTTTATGCAAAAAATTCACGTAATATTTGAATTTGGAAACAAGACCAAAAAACTTATCAATCAGGTTCTAGTTTGCATCTCTGCATTTACTTTCCCGATTTATTTCGTACCCGAGGTAAATGCCCCTTTCTGGTCCATCAACACTGCATCTCATTGAAATGCGTGAGAAAGTATGTTTAGAGATTGCATGCAAGACAAACTGATTGAGCATGCATGAATTGTGTGCTCAGAGTACTCCCTTTGGTAAAGTTTTTTTAACCTTTGCTCACGTCGATATCGGATGAAGTGAGGATGATACAGGAACATCTTCTTTGATTGGAATACGCATGTGCGATCAAACCAAATATGATTCGCGCAGTCCCAAACCTCACTTGTAGTTTCAAAACATTCACACTCGCGTTTAGGGCTATCACAGGCAATCATAAACGCAAGCCCCTTAATCACAATCGCAAGTGCATTTCGTTTTAATAAGCATTAATTTTACAACCGAGAGCGCCAGCTTCCAGGATATGTTTAGCATGGAACAAGAATTTCATTGAACAGCGGAAATTTTGCATAAGTTATGAGATAATTGATAAATAAATGTAAACATTTTAAGAATTAACTTTCAACCGCCAAAGAAATTTATTGTAATTACAAAATGGCGTATGCGGTGTTCTACCAATCAGGCTGCGGCTAGCCACGGGTCATTGCAGTGTGAAAAAAAAAAATAATAACAGTTAAGTGTGTAGATAGTTGCCTGTGCAAATAAATTAAATGGAATGAACATACAATGCTTTTATTTACAATTTCCCATTCGATCATTCCCAAAATAGAAGAATAGATGACATGAATTTTAATTATTGTAAGTCTATTAAATAAAGATAATTGTATTGTTATCTTGATGTGATCGATGTAAATTACAAAAGCATTTAATCCAAAACTTATCCATTTACTACGCCTAAAAACACTTATCTTTAATTAAATATGTGTCTTTTAGATGTTTTAATCGATTGCAAGAAAACAAAAGAAAATAATCAATTGATTTTTGTCACGATTTGTTTATTTTAGGTACTGGTACAACAGGAAGTAAGTTACTTAGGATAATCATATCTGTAAATCGTATGCATCACTGCTTCGACAAATATAACATGTTTACTTTTAAATAACTTGCTTGATTAATTTTTATTGCATTCATTTTATTTGAGTATACATTCCAAATATTTAAAAGATAATAAAACCTTTTGACATCACTACAAAAACATTCATCCCGTTCAATTATCTCCTTCAGCTACAAAATTAGACAGCGTATTTGAAAATTCAGAATTTTATAATTTGTTTGGTTCGTTTGAAAATCTCTTATCATTCGATGTGCACTGAGAATAAGTCATTGGTATTCTTGTTATTTATATAAATTTCACCTCAGAAATCTGTAGATTATTTTTAATTAATAACTATCGACTTTAGCAGAGAAGTTAAGCATCGTATTTTTAAGGTATATAATTTATTTGATTTATGTGAAAATCTTAATTTACCGATCGATGTGCGTTATAAATATATCTTGGTTATACAGCATTATCCCCAGAAATCATAATAATTATTAAGATTTATATATAATACTTTAATGGTTATATATAATACCTGCTAACATATTATTTAACTTTCAGTTTAAATTTGAGTTTGTTTTGAAATGTTTTTAAATTATTTTACTGTTAACTACATGAGTATAACTAAAAACAATTTTGATACTTTGTTTGAAAAGGAATTTTTGTGTAGATTAATTATTCATCTCAATTGAATTATTTCAATGTTTAGATTATAAAAACATGCTTTTTATAATCGTTGAAAATTAAATCATACATCAAATACTATGTGGCCATAAGATTTTTACCATGTGTTATAATTTAAGTTCTGTAGTTATAAAAACCAATTGAAAGAGTACCATGAGGGTTATGCATATATATTTATCAATGTGAACCTGTCAAAAAATTAGGACACCTGACCTAGTTTATAATCAATCTTGTTATTTATCATTTATTGTTTTTAAGTTTTTTAATGCTTAATCTTCAGCCAAATATTCTAAGTAAGCTTTTAATTTTTATATGAAATATAAACTGTTTCACAATTTGATGTAACCAATATATGTGTAGCACAAAATTAATAAAAATTATTTTGCTTTATTTTAAGTAAGTTAATTTTAATTCCTATAAATCTTTAGGTTTTAAACACTTTTTAAAGTTGTATAATGTTTGAACTACAGTTTCTTAATTTGCTAATGCACAATGTTAAACTTCTTTATTGAATTGAATTACATGTGAGAAATTTTATTGTTTTCATAACACAGAATAAAAATTTCTCATTAGTTTAAGAAAGAAATGTGGTTTTAAATGAATAAAAGCATTTATTGAATTATATTTTTGAAAATATTTTTTAAAAAATTTGACATTTCAGAAATAATACTTATTTACTTAGATCAGGGTTGGAGTTTTTGCTGGCAAAAAGGGGTTTTTGCCAGGACAGTGGCAAAAACCTGGTAAAAACAGACAAAAACCAAATTATCTAAATTGCTGATTAAATATTATTACAAAATACTTGAAACAAATTTAAATCAATCATAAGGAATAATAATTTTGATACATTACATGAAAAAATTATTTTTAACACATTAATAATTAATAAAAAGGCAATAATTTTTAAAAGATTGAAAGTTTTTGACCTCTTTTCATTTTAGAATCCTTAAATAAATGTTTTTTTACAAATAAATAAATATTATTATTTGTATAATATTATTATTTATCATAAAAAAATTATTATTTGTACAATAATTAACTACACATCTTGATAGATATTTTCTGCTTTAAATTATAGTTATATTAATTTAAAATAAGTTCATTTCACTGGAAAAAAGAGATTAATCGAGAATTTTCCAATCAATAATGTTTTAAACAGGGTTCGCCAAGTGGGCCCACTTTGAAAAAACCCGCCCGGGTTTTATTGGGTGGGCCCACCTTGAAAGAACCCACTTGGAACGATAAGTGGGTTTTTTCAAAAAAAAAATTTTTTTTTTTACTAAAACTTATTGTTTCACATTTATTTTTATATAATTTATTGTGCAGCATAAATTTGTCCAATAGAGTTGCATGATTTATATGATTAAGTTTTTAATATTAGTAAAGTAAAAGAAACTCAAATATTCATATAATTTTTATAGTAGGTGCTATTGAAAACTTCAAGTGGGTTTTTTCAAAAAAGTAATATTTTAATGATATCAAATCAAATAAAAATTTAAATAATATAGTCTGAAAAGATCAATTTTTCAACTATAGTTGCATGCTTTATATATTAATAAACAGGTAATAAAATACATACAGGTAATATAATAATATAATATATTAAAAAAAATTGAAAAGAAACAATTTCTTTCTTTTTTTTACCAAGCGATACATTAACAAATTTAAACAGTTTTATTTTCTAGCTTAAAAAAAAAAAAGCTAAAACTTCTTATAGGAGAACTTTTTAAAATTATTTATCTAAAAATGAAATCCTTTTCCTAGGGTTAATTATTTGAAAACAAATGGGACAAGTAACTGATACTCTTTATAATTATACGTAGTTTTAATTTCACTTTCTATTAATCTTATTATAGAAACATGTAAGACCATTAAATATTTATTTCAGTTTTTTATTTAACTCAAGTCAGATGAAATTTTAGTTTTTACTGATTATAAATATTTACAGATTATAATTTTATAATGGGTAATATCCATATGTTTAATAAATATAGTAAATAAATGTGTGTGAAAACAAAAAGATTAATAAACTTGTTCCTTTTATATTACTGCATTTATATTTTATAATTCTTGAGTTAAAAAATTATGAAACGTAATGTACTTAAAAATAAAGAAGATTCAAATATGTATTAGTGATAATGCGTTATTTAAACTTAATATAAAATACATATAACCAGGGTTCCCCAAGTGGGCCCACTTTGAAAAAACCCACTTGGTGGTTTTTTTCACAATTTTTTTTTTTTTTTAAATTTGGTTCAAAAAGAAGTATCTCCTAATACTATCATTGGACATATCGTTGAAGTTAACAAATATTTTAGAAATGTGCATCAAGCACATGGATGGGCAAATGAAAAAAACTGCTTGATGACCAAATGATACTAGGTGGAATTCATATTGTGAGCGCGTAAAAACTTTTGCCAATAATTACCATAAATATGAAGAGATTGTTCTTGAACAATTTTATATGTCAAAAATATTAAATAATGTTTGGCTTTACCAATAAACTATCAATTGGGAAAAACAGATATCAATTGTTTCTGAAGCTTTAAAAAAGCTTCAACCAGAAAACATTTCAATTTCAGAACCTGTTGAAATATGAATTAACTTACAATCGTGTGATGAATTAGAATCCCATAAACATTTTGTTAAAAGATCAGGCTGTTCAGCCACATCATTTATCAGCATATGAATCCTGGATCCCGAAACAAGGGGACAATTTTTAAATGATGAACAAGACCAATTAGCAAAAAGCTGTTTTTCTAAGCATCATCCAGAATTTTTGCCACATGTTATGGCATCCAAAATTTCCGATCCTGAATACTTTCCAAAAACAATGATGCTTGACACTGTTATTGAACAGCTTTCATCAAAAAATAGTGGAAAATTATGGCAAAAAAAATAAATAAATAAGTAAGTAAATAAAATTCCTAGCTTCCACAAAATTTCTGTCAATTCTTTTTTCTTTGCACTCAGCACCAGCATCCTCTGTCTCTATCGAAAGACACTTTTCAACTTTTGGTTTGGTGCAGAGTAAGATTAGGAATAGATAAAGCTACAAAACTCGTAAAAGTGTATTGCCATCTAAGAGAGAAATGTAGACACTTAGAATCTGTTGTATGATAATAATAATAAAGGAAAAAATTGACCTTTTTTTTAAGTTAACTCTTAACATCTGCTGACAATTTTTAATTATTGGAGAAAGTTTATCACAATTAAAAAACAGTTAAAAATTAAAATATTACTTTTAAGATTTTTTAAATATTTTTAAGATTTCATTTGAATACAATTTATTTTGTTTCTTTTAATCATGTTTAAAAATATTGAAAGCAAACAAAACAAAAAAATGTATTAAGTGATACATTAAACAACAATAAACAAATTTAAAGTTTTATTATCTGATTTTTAAAAAATAAGCTATAACTTTTTATATATGCTTTTTTATAATTTTAAGATTAATTTGTTTTTTGAAACAATAAAGTTAAAATGCATATATTTATCTAAATATTTGAAAAAAGGGACAAGTAACTGATACTCTTTATAATTATACATAATTTTAATTTCACTTTCTATTAATCGTATTATAAAAACATTGAAGACCATTAAATATTTATTCCAGTTTAATTTTATTACAGGTAAAAGTCAGATGAAATTTTAGTGTTTACTTATACAACTCTATTTAATAAATAAAAATATTTTCACAGTAAAATTTATGAGCACTAAATGAAAAAACCCAATTTTCCCCGGGTTTTTTCAAATAAAACCCAATTTTCCCCGGGTTTTTTCAATAAAACCCAGGCGGGTTGGGTTTTTTCAAAAATCCCCGGGTTTTTTCAAACCCTGGTTTTAAACTACTAAAATGATATATTATTACATTATGAATTAATTATGGAATAATAATTTTGTTAATTTTTTTGTAATTATTTATATTTATATTTCAATTTTAGGAATGTTTTAATTTAATGCAAAATAAAAAGAGACAAAACTTAATATATATATCAGAGTTCTCCCAAGGTATTAAAAAGTACAGGGTTTTTACTCACAGAGAAAGGCGTTTTGATTAAGTTATACTATTTTATGTGTAGATCTCAAAAAGTAATTTTCACTCATTATCTGAATAAAAGAAAAATTTGTGGTTTAAAAATAATAATTAAGGGCATTCCAAGTCACAATTTTTGTGGATAAATTTTTTTTCAAAAAAAAGTAAACTAATAAAAAAAAAATTTTGATCAACAGCTTAAAAGATTATTTCTATAATTTATACTTAAAATTATTTGAGAATAAACCTTTAAAGGTGAATTTATTATTAAAACAAAAGGTATTTATTCAAAAAATATTTGTAAAATCACTTAAAAAATTTCTTATTATTCTCCCTTAAAAAAAGAAAAATTTAACCAGTTAAGAATAATCTTAAGAAAGTAAATGTTTGTAATAGTAATCAGAATTAAACCTATAAACACTATAAAAAAAAAAATTTTTTTTTTATAATTGTTATTTAAGCTATTTAATTAATTTTACTTTAAAAGACAGCGTTTTTAAGGTATGGTGGCTTATTTTTACATATAGTGGCTTATTTTTCATTTATTGGGATCAAAAAACATGGCCTTTCTAAAAATGCTAAGGGAGAACACTGTATATATATAATTGCGCTTATAGAAGAGAAAAATTATTATTTCTATTTATATGTGTTCATTTCATATGGCTTTATATGTTCAGATTTGCCTGAGATTGGCAAGAGTTATACCATTCAAGTTCTTTAATATTAAGAACTAAAATAAAACAAATAGTTTCGTACTATCCAAATATATATGAGTTTTATTTATGTTATAGACATTTATTTTTTTTTAATAGTTGAATTGTTTTTTAGTTTTGCTTTTTTAGTGCCAGAGCCCAGCATATATATTCCCAGTGTACCCTGCAGTGAAGTTTCTTGATCAGCTCCTCTGCCCGGTATACCTTAAACCAGTGCTTCCCAAACTTATGACTTTTGTGTACCCTTTCTAAATTTTTCATAATGCTAAGTACCACTGAAGAAAAAAGGAATGAATTTCTCACTATAGAAAAATTGCACTAAAGTTAAAAATCACAACTATCTTTTGACACCCCTAAATATTAACTCTGCAAAAAATAGCCAATACAAAAATGCATAATTGTAAATTTTCATGGCTAGCTTTGTTTTTAAATACAATTTTTTGAAATTTTCGTTTGTTGCAAGATATTTTGCATACGAACGCATACCCTCACTAAAGTGTTCCCGTACCCCTAGGGGTACGTGTACCACACTTTGGGAAGCACTGCCTTGCACTGATGCTTTTTTAAGGTTAAGTGACATCGGCCGGCATGCCTTTACACCGTTGCTAATAATTGACCATTAATATAAATGAACTGTGAATTTCATAGGGTATATTCAGATATTGTATTTCGTTTTTAGCATCAGGTGCTGACGCATAACAAATCAGTTTTAAAATTTAAAATATTTTTAATGCTTGCTACACTATTTTGCAATGATTGATTACTTAGTTCTTTAATTCACAAGGTTATTAGCTCTCTAATTGTTACACTGGGTCATCATTAGTCAAATATATTGAATAGTGCATTAATAAAAAAATTTCACTTTTGTGGGAAATGAACTATTGATTTTTGCTAAAATTAAATATATTTGTTCAGTTGTGAATTTTGATGATATTTTCTTGTATAGTTTACATTAATATTTTTTATTTCAGTCTTGCAGCTAGTATTGATATTCGCTTTTGAGTAGCTCTGTTATTGCTGGAACAGATTTTCCCTTTGAAATATTTAATCTCACAGGCTGGCGACAATTCAAGGAGAAATAAGGGTGGGTCCCAGCCACCAGGCTCGGCTGCCTGAATATAAGCCCAATATAAAGCCTTACGAAATGCCAGAAAAGTGTGAAGCGCTTGAAGAACTAAGATGGTATCCTGGTGTTCCTGATTGTGATCTTCAGATGTATCTACGAGCAGCTAGGTACAGTTTATCTATAATTTTTTTTTCTTTGTATTTATATCAATTGAAAAAATAAATTTAAAATAGTCATATATTTTTATAGCTTTAAAGTAAGTTTTAACATTAATATCTTTACTTCTTGTAAAGAAAAATTTTTCCATCCAAATGCTGTAAAGAAAGAAAAATTTTCCATTTTTGTTTAATATTTTTTACTTTTGTCCTATGTTCTTCAAAAGAAATTTTGATTCTTCTTTTTTTTTAACTTAAACCTTTATTAAAAATGTACTACCGTCATATTTGCTCTAGCAAAACATGACTGAAGTTTATTTTTATAATTCTTTTGTGTTTTGTAGTATTGAGTTTTTTATAAAAATCCTCTAAATTTATAAATTAAAATGTCTTTGTGGTAGGCCGCTCTTTTTTTTTTTTTTTTTTTTTTACACTGCCAAGGATGCATATCAAAACCTATCTCTCTTTTTTTAAATTATATTCTTAGTTTTTAGTTAAGGGTCTAGTATCTGAACTATTACTTAAGACCAATTTTATGAGATTTTATACATAAAAACTTTATTTATTTCAGGAAGGAAAAAATTAAGACCCCAAAAAACATTTTGTTATCCCCTGAAATGTTTTTAAAAGATTCATAGCTTGCTAACATTTGATTCTAAATGTACTAATGAGAAAGATAATTAATTTAAAAATTCTTTATCCCATTATTTGCCATAAATGAAACGAACAGAAAAAAAAACTTATATCAAACATTTGCTTGCAGAACTTGGAAAAAATATCAAATTATAAATAATTTTTTAAAAAAAGTATCTTTCATATTCTGACATGATGGAAAACAGTTCTTCCTATTTACTTGACTTGTTGAAGCTCTGGTGTTATTGAAAATCTTTGATCGCATAAAAGAAAACGCTAAATATAAGTGTCTTTATTAAAGCTTCTTACTATTTTAAGTTTAAACTTTCAATGTTACAATTAAATTATTTAACCATATTACTTTATTTAATAGATAAAATTATTAGAAAAAATATAGTAGTTCTTAGTTAATTATAGTAGTAAAATTTCTTAAAAGATATTAGTTAACAGTTTTTATGCAAGATTTAAAAACTTTTTAAATTACAAAAAAGAATATGAAGTTTTTTTTTCTTCTTCCGTTAAATTATATTTTTTGCTTTTTAAGTGACTATAAATATTTTTTTTAAAATCACCAATAAAATAAATCAGAAAAAATATACAAAAACTTTAATTTTATTTTTTCCCTGTGTAGTAGTATGCAGGGTGTATCGTGGTTTTAAAAAGTACTTAAACGTGCTTATTATTTATGATCTTTTTTACGGGCTCATAAGGAAGCTAATTTTTATTGGATGTTTGTAAAATGTATACTTTTTTTTTTTTTCTTCTTCTTACCATTCAAATTATTACCATGAATTAGCACTTAAAGCATATTTACTACATGGTCATTCACTCAGAGACTGTTACACCATCGTCCGTACCATACAGACAACTTAATTTTTTTTTTTTTTTTTTTATGTTGGATACGATGATTCGAATTTGGCTAGAAGGATTCCTACTTTCACATGTGCAACTCTGCGGAATTTGGCAAGTGGCTCCCTATTTCAGGCTTCATTCTTGCCCTATAGAATCGAACCATAAATATCCCGAATTTCTACTGATCACTAAAAAGTGGTAATTTATAGAGATGAAACCAAAATTAAATTTTCTCATTTTCTCAACCATTTTAAATTTTACAAAAGCTTATTTTAATAAAAAAATATGTTTTTGTCATGAGAACACATACTTTCTGGTAAAATTGTTGGATGATATGCATCTAGCTACTACTTTATCTGCTTTATTGTCACAAACTGCTAGAGTTTCATCTGGTGATATTGCGTGATCCGTCAATGAAAGTGTTAATTTGAATTTACGATTTTTTCTTTGCTCCAATTTTTAATGTTAGTAAAATCTTTCTTGTTGCTTACATTATCTGGACTTAATATAATTCTAATTAGTTATGTGACATATCTAAGGGAAATAACTGTAATCGAATAAAATATACAAGATTTGTTCCGAAAAATTCATATTGATGTTATTTTCAAGATCAAGGGAATATATATTTTTCTTAATGGTAGAAAAAATCAATCACCAAAACACTGTTTGTTTTGTCAAATTTTCAATTTTAAGCACATTGGTGAGTTCCCTGTCTCTGTATTTTTATTTCAAGATAATTTAAACCTTTTGTTTTTAAATCTTTAACTATTGAGCATAAAACATAAAAGAATTATTGACTTAAAAGTAAGAGTATGCAACCTTTTCGAATGAAGGCCACTTACTCAGCAGGATGTATAACGAAGTGCCACACGCGTATTTAAACATGTTGATGACAAATAGGAAAAACATTATATAAACATTAGTATTCTAAGCACTAAAGTTTTTTTGTCAGTAAATTTAGTAATATATTTACAGCAAATTAAATACTTTCAATTATTTATTAAGATTTATTCAAAAATTTAAAAACTGATACTTTTTTTAAGTTTATTCCCTTTTTATCAAAAACCGATTTATTAAAAAATGTGTATAAATATATGGAAAAAGAAATGGGTTTTTTTTTTCTTTTTTCAGGATATCACGTAATACACAAGTTCGTTTCAAAATAAATTCTAATAAAAAGAGAAAAAACTAATGCTTGTGAAATAAATAAAAAAAAAATGAATACATATTTTAATGAGTAATATAAATTCAAATTAAATATTTGAATTTAAAAAAATTTTTAGGGTTTAAACAAAAACTAAAAATTAAAACAAAGCCATTATAATACAAAATAAGATTCAATATTTATTTGGTATTATACTTTAGATATCATTTCTATTTCTTAACATTAATTATTTCACAATGATTGCCACACAAAAAAGGCGTTTAAATTTACGATGAAATCAACATGAATAAAGTGCGTCAATAAATAATTATTTAAATGCGTTATTTAAAATTTGCATGTTATATTAAAAATTTGAATTTTTAAAACCACGATGGAATGTAGAGCGCTAACTGCCTAAAAAATGGTTCGAAAATAACTGGAATTTCCAATAAAATCGCCACAAACAAAGCGCTCAAGAAGAGATTTAAATGTGCGATTTGAAACTCATGTATCAAACAAATTTCTTAGTAAAAATATGGAATTTTCAAAATGATTGCAAAAAGCTTAGTAATAACTGCCTTTTAAAAAAAATTATTAAATAAAAATAATTTAAGATTTAGAATGAAATCAACCCAGATAAAACACATCAAAAAGCAGTCAATCAAATACACGATTTATAACTCGTGAGTAGTAATATTGTATTAAATTTACCTGTTTTTTAAAAACCACATGGAAATTATTAGTTATAACTGCAACACAAAAAAAAACGATCAAAAAAATTATTGAAAGTGATTGGATTTGCAATGAAATCGACAAAAATAAAAGAAATCATAAAGTGATTACCCAAATTTAAAATTCGCATATTAAAATTTCATATTAAAAATATTTAATTTTTTTAAAAAATCATGTGGAATTCTAAAGCAATTACCATGGGAAAAGTGATTGAGAAATGGAGATTTACAATAGAATATATGCAGATTGAGCACATGGAACTTTGATAACTCGAATGTGCAATTCGAAATTTTCGTCAATTTGTTTATTTTTCAAAAAAAAAAAAAAAAAAAAAAAAAAAAAAAAAAAAAAAAAAAAAAAAAACATTTTTTTCATGGTGTTGGAAAGCTTCTACATAAAGTTATAAAAGAACTAGTATCTAGAACTATTATGTTATAAAAGAACTGTTGAACCAAATTACAGTTTTTAATGAACATTATTCTCTGGTTTGGTTCAAATCCTGGACGAGGCATGCATGTTTTTTCATTCTCAGTACTATTTGTCCTTACTGTGTAGGAGCAATGTTGGCCCACCTAATATGGTCACCCTAAAAGAGTGGGCATTTGAAGAAAAAAAGTAATTAATATTTATTCAAATCTAAAATATACACTTTTTTTTTTTAAATTGAAGTATAACTGACTGTTGTTCTAAATTATTTATTTGTTTTTATTATTTATTTTGCATAATGGAACAAAGTGATTGTTACTTTAAAGAATAGAATTCACAACATCACATTGAATCCAATTTAAATTAATATAAAATGCTTTCATGGTGGCTAATAAAATCAAGAATCAAGTTCTTTGCCAAAAACGAGTTATTTTATTAATGATTACACACATGAGTATCTTTTTTTTCTCTTCCAAATACAATGTTTTATAATTTTTGAGTCCTTGAAAGGTGCTTATTTTTTGTTGAAAATTTTGTCGACACATCCTAGCATGGTTAAAAACTAATTTGGTAATAAAAATGTACAAATGATAGCTTAACTCGTTTACTCACTAAAATAATTATTCATTATTTGAATAATAAATATTCGTTAAAAAAAATAATAAATTTGAAAAACTCATTGTTACTGTCGGGCTAAATATTATACTGTATAATTACTTAAAAATATAACATTTTTCCTATTAAATAATACATTTCATAAATTTTAAATATGCATATATGCTCATCTACTTATTATATGGAGCAAAAATTCATTTTGAATAATTTTTTCCTTTCGCAGAAGTATGGCTGCATTTGCTGGTATGTGTGATGGGGGTTCTGCTGAAGATGGCTGCATTGCTGCTTCTAGAGATGACACAACTATAAATGCAATGGATTTAGTAAGATAACTACAAAAATATTATAATTAAGTGATGCAACAGACTGGGCTAAAGAGAATAGAAGGGCTGGTTCACTCCTTTGAAGAAACTCTCGAAGCGTCAATCCTCCGATTTTCTCTAATGACGTCGCTTTGGCGCAAAGCTCGCACTTTTACTTCAAGAACGGAGCGTTCGGCCTTACTCGCTCTAACTAAAATTGGAGCATTTCCTTTTACGAGATATTCTAAGACATTTGTTATTTTCTATAATGACTTTCCTCAGTTTTTGCAGTGAATTTACAAGAATTTAAAACTATTATTGAAATGCCAGTTTGCGCGATTGCAACTTGCAAAAATTCTGATAGGAAAACAAAAGGAAAAAATATAATTTTCCGCGTGTTCCCTAAAGTAAATGAACAACTATGTAAAGAATGGGTTCTGAAATGACACAGTTTATATAAAACAGCAATATGTTTATTCTCTAGTTAAGAACTTTTATAAAAATTCATTATCTAAATAGAAACCGCCTTGTTACTTCAAAAAGAAAGGCAGGTGAAAAAAATTAAAAAAATGGATAAAGTCAAAGAAAATTAAAATGTAAATAAAAAGTATAAATAAAATATAGTATATAATTGAAATTCTCCTAATTTCATAACATATTTTTTAATGTAGTTATTCTAAATATTTATGATTTTTTTTAAATATTATATTCTTTTAAATTTAAATATCTGTAAATTATAACTTGTAAATTTAAATATCTATAAACAATTGCAAAATTTTTAATGTCATTTTGAACCTAAATTATTATTTTGTTTCAGTAATTAGCGTTTAAGATTGATGTTTCATAGTGATTAACTATTAACAAATTGCTATTAAAAGCATATTTTAAAATCAGGGATTCTAAATTTATCTCAACTTATTGTTATAAAAGAATATGTAGATAAAAAAAGTGTCGATATATGCTTTCATTTTTCTTAATAATTAAAGTTAAAACTGAACTTTTTAAAATAAAGTATTTATAGTGTCATTTTCCCAACTAGTAAAACATTTTTATAAGTTTAAAATGGTATATTTTTTAATATAATGGCCAAGGAAGTTTTTTTGAACTATGTTTATGAACGGAAATAATGTGTTAATTACGTAAAGTTTGAAGGCAGCATTTTTTCCTGTTG